CGCTTTGTCCGGCTTTGACTAGAGGTGTTTTTTTTTTATCCATATAGGGTCTTTGATCACAGGTGTTAAGGATTAATTTTAAAAGTTGTGTAATTATATTTAAAATTGCGGCAGGGTGTAATAATATGTTCATTCATCTGTTATTTAGTTAACCATAACAAGTATTACTTCTTTGACAATACTGTTGGCGTATTTTTTAAAAACCCTTTTTACTTTCTCGTATATACGAAGTATAGTGAAAGTCTTGTAATCGTGCAAAAAAAAAATCGAGAATTTTAACAAATCTCGACGTTTTACACCTCACTGATACGGAAAAACATAATTTTGCAATCTTGTCCGTATGTCTCTATGTGTGTGTGTGTCCGTGTGTGTGTGTGTCCGTGTGTAAACACGATAACTTGAGTAGGCTACCGTTACAGCTAGGTTGATGAAATTTCATATATAAGTATTTTATCAAAATCGTTGATCCGTATCAACTTTTGAGCGATTTCCGATAACCGGAAGTGGTACTTTTCCTACTTTGAATTTTTCAAAAGCCTGTAATTTGAGTATTATTTCAGATAGATAAATGAAATTTCACATGTAAGTAAAAGATCTATTTCTCTACCTTCTGTTAAATTTTGAGTAATTTCCGTTGACCGGAAGTAGTAATTTACGCTACTTCCAATTTCTCAAAAAACTAATGTAAATTTTAAAAGTACTAATAATATTGCGCACTATTATGCGCTTTTTTATTTGGCGTTCACTTGGTGTGCAATTAATTTGTCTACGAGATTTTATTCTATTTTTAAAACTTTAAGTATTTAAAATGGATTAAAAATCATGTCTATAGCCCGAGTTCCCATCCCCTGTTATTTTATATAAGAATATTCGAGAAAGTTTAGGGGAGATCACTCCCGGTTTATTTATGTTATGTATTTTCAAGTACATTCTACACTATTTATTTGTGAAACTTGGTATATGTCGCAATATTTGTGTTCCATTTATATTTAAAATAAATCTATAAGGCCTTTATGTGGAGACTAAAATATCGTTATTGACATTTTTAGTACACGTTAATTTGAATTAATGGACTCTCGGGAAAATATGTATAAAATCGTATTAATTGTATCATAAATTAAAATCAAATAACAATTTATGGCCCCCATCTGTGGTCAAAAACCCCGTTGTGGTCAAAGCCCATCTGTGGTCTAAGCCCCGCTGTGGACAAAGCCATGGTCAAACCCCCTATGATCAAAGCTCCGCTGTGATCAAACCACCTGTTGTCAAAGCACCCTATGGTCAAAGTACCTGTGGTCAAAGCACCTAGGACCCATAAAAGACACAGACACACAAACATACATACATTGCTTTATATATATATATATATATATATATATATATATATATATATATGTTTTTGTGTGTATGTGTGTGTGTCGGCCTACATAGGCCTATAATATAAATATATATCCCGCATACGCGTACATGTATGTGTATAAGCTATAACCGCTGCAGACTTAATACTAACATGGTTTATCTATAGTCTGTTATTAATACAGTTGGATGTAGCATTGTTTTCTCTATAGTTAGCACGTTTACGTCATTGTGTCACCCACACCCTCTTGTAATAATTGTTGATTTGTACTTAAAAGACTATATAACTTAAAGTAATTATTACTGGAAATGGCAAACTTCTGTACATTATGCAATTATTTTTTTTTGGTGTCACTCGGTGCGGTCCGCACCCCCGCCCTCGCTACGCCTCTGGGTAGGGGTGGGGGAGAAATCAGTGGATTATCTAATGTTCAAAAAGATGTTAGTTTGATAATAATATTGCTGATACAAGTTTATCTGACGCTGGAACATGTACATGATATGAAGGGCAAATGCTTTCACGTATACATTTAAGAACAAAAATTAGTATCCTACTTGAATATCCGTAATTCAAAGATTATTTTTTTCAAAAAGTGGACTTTACAAGTCGCCTCCTCAAATATCAGTTATTAAAAATTATTTTTTTTGTAAATTGTGTTAAATTTTATAGGATTTTTTTTTACGTTTATTTACATGTTATAATCGTTTATTTTTGTGTGTAATTAAAGAACTCGGGAAATTAAAAGTTTAAATTCCTGACGAAGCTATATCTGATTATAAGGGAATAATTGAATAATACAATAGTCAATTTTATTAATTTTCACACGTATTTGAAAACCGTTTAGCATAAATTTTAAAGAAGTTTTTCATTAATCCAAATGTTTTCTTTGTTTATTTTTGCGTGTAGCCAAAGTCCGGAGGAAATTATAAGTTTTAATTCCTGACAATGTTGCGTCCCATTAATTATTCAAATTGAGCAGTAAAAGCGTTCAATTATTAAACCTTTAATATGACATTTCTGAGAATCTGGTATTTTAAGGTGCCAGAGCTAGCTCCATAACAAATACAAACTTTTTGTCGCATCTGCAAGTCGTCGATCTAAAAATTGAAGAGTTTATATAAGGCCGGGGTCACTGTAATGCAGTTTCGGGCCACTTAAAAATATAATATTTAGATGAATGTAATTTTCCCGTTAAAAAGAGAGTAAACAGCAATTTTCGTCAAGAAAAAATTACCTGCAACGTACCTGCAAGTACCCGATCTAATAGGTGTGAGTAACGAACAAACAAACAAAATACCACCCACTTTGATTTTAATGATATAAAGATTAGGCTGAGCAATACATAGCCCTTATGGCTAGAATTTTTTTAAATTAAATGTTTGCCACTTTTAAAATGCCATTGTTTATATAAAAAAGTACCTGTTAAAGACACTGCTCTCATCAAACAACAGATGGTATATAGGATGGAATATATTCTCGACATCTCGTGACGTGTTCTGTTGAAAATATTGTCTAAGAAAGAGTGTGTATTTACATATATATATATATATATATATATATATATATATATATATATATATATATATATATATGTATATATATATATATATGCATGGTTCCATGACATATCATCTCAAAGAAAATATCCTAGACAAAATATCTCACGGACATATGATCTCAGGGCAAATCATCTCAAGGACAAATGATCTCAGACAAAATATCTCACCGTAAAATATGTATAGTATTTAAGAATATTTTAGTCGATTTTAACATTTTTTTTAAATTGAATGTCATATGGATTTTAATTGCATTTTACTCATAATTATTGTAACATATACTAAAATGAATGACTTAAAATTAAAAACAAACCATCAAAAGACTGTGTAAACTTAATTTAAAAAATACTCTCACATGCTCACCAGCTGGTGTGTGTGCGTGTGTGTATGTGCGTGTATGTGTGTGCGCGTGTGCGGGGGGGGTGTTGAAGAGAGACGACCCTAACTATTCCCATTTGTTTGGTACACACTTGCTTATACTTAAACCACGTTCTCTACTAATTGACTACAGACTTTTGAACATATTTTACTAGGGTTATGTAGTAATCTGATAGGCCGAAAAATACATGCCAACATATTACTAACTAGGACTACCTTTACGGCTTTTATTAACCATACATAAGTGTTGTACTTACATTTCTTCTGC